AAGCGACACTTCTCTAAAGTATCGCTGGATCCGTTCGAAATATCGCTGTATGAGTGATGTCCTGAGGCTCGTAGCGTCCTGCTGAACACGTCTGCGGCAAGCGTTGGGAAGTACTTTAAGTACATTGTACTTGAAGTACACTGCACCTAAGTACATTGCACTTAAATTACTACTTAAATTAGATTTAGGAAACTTGTACTTTACTTGAAGTACATTCTCTGAGTATGTACTGTACTTTTTTTTCTGGTACTTTCCGAGGAAAGTACAATTCCCGACTTCAAAGCACATTCCCCGAATTTAGTTTTATTAAATTTGTATCACGAAATGACGCGTTGTCAACTCCGAAGAAATACTGGGAGGGATATATCCTACTTTCACCAGAAACGTGAGCAGACGACGCATCGCTCCATTTGTTTCGGGGGCGGCATTCCCGTAGCTTTTTAAACTCTCGCTACTTCTCTGTCGGTCAGCGCAAGCAACGAGGTTTAAGATATCAGGAGAGCAAAATTAATCATAATGTAGCAGCTGAGACTGTGGTGCGGAAAAATTAAATTTTCAAGTCGAAGTAAAAGACAATAGAGGAGGACGTCACAATGTTTTAAGACATTCTCTTTTGTCTTTTCCTTCTACTTGAAAGTTCTTTAATTTTTTTCGCACCCAAATCTCAGGTGTCACGTTATGATTAATTATCACCAGCTCGCATGCACACGCATTTTTTTTTTCTTTTTATTAAGGAGAGGACATTTTTCTATGAGAGCTATGGGGCTGACGTCATGCTCCGTCCTATTACATTTAACCCCCTTGGATGCTACAATCCAGTGCAAAGGGTGCCAAATTCAGAAGAGGGTCTTCTGAATTCGACTCCATTCCTGAGAAAAAAAACAAAAAAACTACTCTGTCGCCACTTGACTTTATCAAATATTCGCCGCTGTTTTTGAGGCATTCCACCCTTGATTACCCCTCGGCAATGCATACCAATTAAAAAAAAATCACTGTATAAGGGAATGAATGGGCATCATGAAAGATTGTGTTAAAATACTTGTACTTTACATTGAAAGTACATTGTACTTAAAGTCTTTACTTCAAGTACATTGTTCCCAGTGTATTTCATACCAATTTACTTAAAGTACATCACGTCTCATTTACTTTGTACTTTAATTACCTGAAGTATCTTTTAGATGTATTTTCCCCAACGCTGACCTTTCGCGTCGTAAACAGGAAGTAGCGGGCGTCAGTGACAGACACGAGCCTAGGAATGTATGCATGCATATACAACAATAATCCTGTGTGAAAGAGGTTGCGTAAAAGACGTAAATAAAATTTGGAATGTTTTTCGTCTTCAGCTGTGGTTTGGATTCGCAATCTCCTCCTCCTCCTCTTCCTCCTCCTCCCCCCGCCCCCGATGATCCCCGTTTTTAGCGTCTGCATGAGAGAATTCACTAAAAAGCACCAGTATTGGTGAAATAAATAAACGGCGATAAACTTCCGCTGATTTTTGTTATAAATAAACACCCTATGGTGTATATTATGTTACTTCGCTCACTCTCTTTTAAAATCGATTTTGTATTTCATTGCTAGTTTTCCACGTTGCATAAACATGTAAAGTGCCAAAAATGCGTTGTTTGCTTTGTTTCATGACAACTTTTCGCGTTGTTTCTCGCCAGCCATGTCTGCTCTTGAATCACAGGGAAATTGCTCCAGAAGTATTCAGCGTCCTCACACATATTTTAATGTTAAAAGGCCTGAGCCGTTTAGCGTCGATTCATTTGATAGACGTAACATAACGGCTTGAAACGCGAAATTTCGTCACGGCTGCTGATACCTCTGCGGGCGTTTCACGTATTTTGAAAACATAGTACACGAGAGAAAATAATAATAACAATAAAAAATTGCCCCATTTTTTTATATTACCCCCAGAGCGTTGCGGTGAGAAGAGAACGACTTCAAGTGCGGATTTACCTTCGTCGACGCTCCAAAATCGGGTCGACTATCGAATCCAGGTTTATAACACTTTCATTATGCCACACCAATTAATTTTGTAAAAAAAACACAGCCGACAAGTGGCCGGGAAAAGGTCCGCACGCAGCGCATTTCGGCCCCAGCGCAGCCAAAATGCCGCTGACGCCGCGGTCGGATAGCATACAGGGCTTCCGAGGCGCCTTCTGGCGACAGATTTCCTTTTGGTGCCGCGCGCCGGCCGCCGCTCGACACACCCAACTCTCTCGTAAAACCCTGGGGCGAATCCGGAGCCATGATTGGCCTATTCGAACACCCCGCTCTTCGGGAAGCAGCAGACGGTTGTTACTTTTCGCGCTCGTCGTTTGATATAACACGGTAACACGGCTCGTGGCAGTAAACAGAGCAGTGAATTTTGGGTCCAGAGAAGTAGTAGCCGAATGGGCGAATGTAGCGTTGACGTGACTTACCATGATGACCACCCAGGACGGCGGCGACACAATGGCTGGCTATAGCGGCGATGATAAACAGCTGTTTTTCTCGGCAAAAACAACACCGCGTGCGTGCTAACAGCGTCGGCCCGCGGCAGTCATCGCGCTTAGAAGCACACGCGAGGACGGCCGGTTTTGATTAAAGGGACCATGAAATGATTTTAAAATCGAGTTTCATCCACCGCACGTCGTAAAAGGTGTGAAAAGAAACACAAAAACACAAAAATAGGGAGCCAAAAAAAATTATTTGCTATAGAACTTTTAAAAGAAAACAGGACTCTTTTGCGCCTTCCTTCCTTCGCCTGTTCACTACGATGCATCCGCGGAAATGGAGCACGTCAGCCAAATCCAGGTCGCCTGTTGGGTAAGAGCCTACCTCACCAGCACCGCGATCGTAAACAATAAATAGCCGGCGAATGTTTCCTAAAAGTTCTGTTAAATAATATTCAGATCCACATTTTGTAGCATAATTAGAGATGTGTGGCGAAAATTGCCAAATTTGATAATGCTGAGAGCCAAGCGCCATCTATCGTGTGGTAAACGAAGCAACTACTGCGCGTGCGCAGTAGGGCAGGGCCGACAGTTACTTGGGTGACGGCGACCGACGAACATTTATTTTCTTTGTTTTCCTTCCTCTCAAAACTCTGACTGACTGAACGTTTATTTTTCTACGTGTTTTTCCCGCGCGTGCCGACTTCAAGCAGCAAGAAAACAGTACTTAAAACAGACCACGACGAACAAGAACGCTGGATCCACCGACTCCGACGAAGCGAGCTGCTCTGCATATAGGCCTAGCAGGCATTCCGACTCGGCGCTGCGTTGCTTCGTGGCTTCGTCGCAAGACCGTCTGGCTACGACCGGCTGGCGTGCTAAATGGAATATGCCCGCGCGACCCTTGTGGACCCTTCCCGTATTATAGTTTAATCACTGACCTCAATTCTAGATTAAGAGGTGAGGTCAATCTCTTCCCCTTGTTTTCCGAGGCAGTGTTGACGAACACTCGTCGAAAAGGGACTCTCGTCGATTCTATCTTGTTTCGTGTGATATAGAGCTGAAATAAACGCTAATGGATTACCTTCGTAACACGGTATGTACACTTTGTTATTGGTATGCCATTTTTATTCTGACAGACTGCACGTCACTGTCGAGCTATAACAGTTCGTGGGAGGTATACGTACAACCCCGGTCCAACCTTTCTTTGCCGAGTGTCGCGTCAGTATCGAGTTGCAATCGTAAAAGAACGGTCCCGAAGCGCTTACAAACAGCGCGAATACAGCACTTCCATCAAGCGCGCGCGTCCGCTCCGGGCGTAAACAGGTATTTACGTGGCTCTTGCTGACACTCGTAGTTCAACTTTTTAACGTCGGCTCGCTCCTGCATCTCCGAGGCCGCGAAAAACGCCATCTACGTCGCTTTGCAAACGACTGACACGGGCCGGCCCTTCTGCCAACAATGACAGGGTGGTTGACTTCTGGAGTCTTCACCGGAAGACTCGCTGCACTTCCCAACAGGCATACCGGCGTATGGGACTAGTCCCATGCTGTCGCTGTAGCGCAACATATCTCATTGAATTTCGCTCAGCTGCGATGCGGCGATGAGAGGCGCCGATTCAGGAAATACGTCGGTGACATCAGCGCAGTAAAACCTACCGGCGCACCCCAACTCGTTGCCGCTAACGCTTCCATTCTCCTACTGCCGAGAGAACTTCCGGCTCCGGAAACGGCCTACGTCACGGCTTGTTTTGCGGTCAGTTGGAGAGAATGAAAAAGTCGATATTTCAATACTTTTTTGTGTAGAAGTTAATAAACCGAGACGAAAACGGATGCCTGTTCGGCATTCAGTGAACATTGACGGTTTAATGTAAAAGTTATCTGGAAAAAGTAAAAAGGTCATTTCATGGTCCCTTTAAGCAAAACGGGTAAGGCAAAATGGTTAAGCAAAACGGGTAAGCAAATCTTCGAAGCGACGTCCGTGCACCCGTGAAACAGTGCGGGAAGGGGGTGTGTGGGGGGTGGGAGGCAGGCCTAGGTCTCGCTCTCTCTCTCTCTCCCTCTCTTCATTCCGATTAAACCAAAGGAACATTTGGGGTAAAAAAAAATTAAGTTGCTTTATTGGCTCTCCATTCTGAGCAAGATTCTTTCTAAAACCATACCAATAAATTCACTCATTAAAAGTTATCTAGTCGACAGCAATGCATTAATTAACTATACCGACCGTTATTAATCTCCTCAAATGGACCTTTTGGCAGAGACCAATACAACATTACCCCGTTAGCGTGTAATGTGTGCTCTTCGCAGGAACGATTTGGCTCACGTTTTGTGAAACCCTGTGGAGTATATCGAGCAGTTTAGTTCGTGATTAATTTAGGATTCTTTTAGCAAACGCCTAATGATGTACAGATCCAATTACGCTTTCAAGCATCATAGTGTGTTACAAGACATATCGCATATTTTTTATTTAGTTGTCGTCATTGCGGGGTGCCTTCTTTATTCAAAGCCTGATTGATTAATGAACACGTACTCTTGATGGCTCCTGGTTCTCCTTCATTTTTAGTTGCGCAGTCCCAAGAAGATATCTGAGAAAATAGTATACCTGAGAATCCTTGAACCGTTCGATAGCAACGGGACATCGACTGACGTGTTTGCCACAAAGATCAGAGAGATCGTAAACAAGGAGGAGTTCGTGGTATGCTTCGTGGGTGTCACGATAACTTTAAATGAAAAAGTAAGTATCAGGTTCATGCTTTTCAGTTCTATACGATACTTGATAAAAAAGATCAAAGATTATTTCAGAACCCAAATCATTCAATCCGGAGCGCAAGTTTGTCTGCTTCCTTAGCAAGGGCTGTGGTGACGTTTGAACGCCGAGCTCTGCTTGGCTCTGACGGAAGGATAGTGGGGAGACCTCAGAGCACGCTGTACTGAGGTCTAGCCACTATTGTTCAATCAGAGTCAAGCAGAGCTCGGTGTTCTGATGTCACCACAACTCTTGCAAAAGAAGCAGACGAACTTGCGCTCCCCATAGTTCCAGCAATCACCATTGCTTCATGAATAATATCGATTCTAAAAGACTCAATCTCTGTTTAATTTCTCCAAAAGGGGGTAATTACAACAAATTAATTGATGAAAATTATTCAAATTCTTTTTTTCTCTGCCATTCTTAAGGATGTTCATTTTTGTTTAATTTAGCGGGGAATAGCAAAAATAAAAACAATGTCCTCTCGTTTACTCCATTGGTAATGTGAATATGCCGAATCAATATTTCTTGTTCATCTAGCGCCCACTGGTGCGATCGGCAATCAAATGGTCACGCTTGGCACTGGGTTTGAAATTTAACATGTCTTAGAGATACAGTAACCAAAAGCGGGCCAACAATTCGATTAACTGTGCTCCGGTCATAAGCGGAATGCACTTCCAAGTTCTTCGAAAGCACATTTCGAACGCATTACCGTGCTTTAAAGCGCGTTTAGAAGTTTCTTGTCCGAGATAAAGATAACATGCGAGAAGTCCTAAAAAGAGGGACGTAATGTTTAAAATTTTAATTTCTTGGTGTTTGTCTTTTTGTCGACAGTGTGGACAGAACACTAAGGTCTCGCTGGTTTCGCCCACGAAGAGCTTTATTTTAGTGTTTGCTGCGAGTTTTTCTGGCGCGTGTAGAACTCACAGCTACAGAACATGGTTTCTCTGCATGAGCGCTTGCGCTAGAAAAGCAGGTTTCAAGGGAAGAACTGCGTCCATGTTCTTGCTGGCGTTTGCAATCTTTGTCGACCTAAAACTTAAAGGTAACAGAATATATGCCTACTCAGTCTGCTGCGTATGCTCTACTCAAAACTCTTCATAGGCGGTATTCATTGGACATTATATGTAAGTGCACTGTCCACTGGGCACGCACAGAACGAGCTCGCCCGTATGCGGGCAGAAATTGAAGGAGAGGAGGAGACGAGAGCGCATGGGGATGTCGTAACACCGAGCTCTAGTTGGAACTATTTGTGGGTGGACCAGACGCCTTTGGAATACTGCAATTACATCATGTCCTCTAAAGCCACTAATTCAGAAATTAATTAATATTTTTTAATCAGGGAACTTAGCATGATGACTTTCCCCTCATGTAATGTCCGGCGGGCCTCATAAGTACATGGTAAAAAGAGGGCTCTTCTGACCCTGAACCTTTATTAAACAAATAAACAAAAAAACTTGTTCAAATTAAAGTGACACACCCGGTGTATTCAAGAACTGTAAGAGGGCAGCAGCGTGGCACACATAATTATTGTCGACGTTGGGGAGGTCGGTGACCGAGTGTGTTAAGGCCCCGAAGCTAAGAGCATGTGGAGGTGAAGCTCACACTGCGGAGCATAAGACCTCTGGCCAACCGACCTCTCTTACCTCAGGATAGCTAGGTCTAAGCAGGCGATCACTCGATAAAAATAAATACACGTGCTCGCTCATTCCCTCGATCTAAATGAGCGACTTACCGACGCATGTTCTTGTCCTGGCTGAAGTGTGTGCACGGTAAAGAGCCCACTTACAATCACTGCCAGGTTAAGAATCGCGAGACGTGGCTTACGATGTTCCGGCATCTTGCTTTGTAATTCCTCCTTCGATGTCCTTATCGGCTAACCCAGCAGTCGCATAGCCTAGGGAGCGATAGCGAAAAGTTCGGGACGTGCTAGTCGCATTTCTCTAGCTGAAGTCGCATCCACAGCGTTAAGTAGTGTTGCCACACCTCGAAAGGCAGACCGACCCTGCGATTTAAAAACACAGAAAGTTTCATTTGGTTTGATGTTCGTTGTGTCCTCTGAGACGCGCCCCTCCCTCCTTCCCTCTTTTTTGTTAAGTTGGTAAGGTATTCACAATTTTTTACTTTATAAATATATCGACTAATAGTAACTAAATTGCAATATTCAATACTCAAGTCTGCTTGCAATCTAACCAATTAATATTTAATATTTTTGCAGTTAATGCAATGGATAGCAATAAACGGCACGTTCATCGAAGAAAACCTTCAAACAAGCGCAGCTAATTCAAGCAGCGCGAGTCAAAATAAAAGTGAAATTAAAAAATGCTCTGCATAAAAGTATCTGCAAGTTTGTTTTAAAGAAATAAAAAAAAAAACATTGCCTTAGTCGTTTTTATTCGTGAGTAAATAACAGTATATTTAGATGTTCTTTACACAGACGTAAGGCAATTTTCACACTGAGTAATGACGTAGCTTACTTCAAGAAACGAAGCATACAGGTCTTAGTTTCGAGAATGTGTGGGATGACGACGCACAAAGTAAACCAAAACGAGAAGCCTAGAATACCCTGGCTACCTGTTAAGTATTAGGCCTGAGCGGGACCAATTGGAGCACTTTGATTGCTCAATGGTGACATAGCGGCAAGTATCACGTGATGAGGCGGAGTATTTTCTCCGCTATGCTTTGCTTTGTTTGTGTGTTTTTGGCGCGTACTGTTCGTTAAGTGCATTTTGTTCTTGCAATCACGCAAAACGTGCGTAGGACGAAACCTAAACAAATCCCAATACGCCAAATCGGAAGTTGTGTGTAAATTACGGTGTAATCCTACGATAGCTTCATGGCCGCCAGCACCGCTCGGATACATAGCCGTGGAGACCAACGAGTATATACTTCTACGTGCTGTTCGCGCGCTTTCCGACTTCAAGCAGCAAACGAAAGAAAACACGTACTCAAAACTACAATTCTCCGTGAAGGCCGCTCGATTCACGGATTCCGAAAGCAATGACAACAATCCCAGCGTCTTGAGCGGTCGGTGGAAATGCCTAGCAAGGTGGGCCAGAAAACCTTGCAAGACGCTCGTCACTCGCTGCCTATGACCAGTGGCCTGGTTAAGTGGATATATTCGCCCGACCCTTGTTGGTAAAGTGGACCCATTCCGTACGAATAGTTTGAGCATTGATCTCGATCTCCCGGTTAGAAGATGACTCTTATCTCATAATCGTCCGCATGTACTTTTTGGAGTGTTGTGCGGTGGTTGCGGACCCTCTCGTCGCAGGGACACACTCGTCAATTTTATTCGCTGCTCTCTTTGACGTAAAACTCAAATAAACACGCTCTTGATTATCCTCGCATCGTGTGGTACGTACACATTATTGGTCATGTGTGTGTCTCAAAAACCGCGCAAACGAATTGCAAAAAAAAAGAAAAAAAAAAACTGCGATTGCAATTTGAAGTTTAACGCCTGCTCGGCCATCCTCGCGATTTCTTTTTTTTATACTTGGTCTGTTTGTTTCCGAAAGGCTGGAAAAAAGAAAAAAAAAGAAAACTTGCCCCGGGAACGGTTCCGTTCCATATCTATATAGTGTATGCCTGTTTGGTCGCTTGGCAAGCCTCTGAGGCCACGACGACGACAGATTTGGCCGTGTTTAGTACGATAGCACGAAACTGGGTTAGCTGGTTCACTGGGTCGTGTTTCCTATGCCGAGACACCACTAATGTCGCGCTTCTTTGATTAAATTTGGACGAGGAGTACAACAAAATAATGAGGTCAATTGCAACAGTAAACTTTTCCTTAAATTAAGTGAATTGTAAACAATAACCTTAACCTACATCCTACCAACGTAGCGCAGAAGCGGTCACATCATTTTTGCAACTACGTTACGACAAGGAGCCGTCAGGTGGCGCCTTGTCAGCACCGAGGCAGGAGCTCGGCGGAAAAGAATCTCTGTGGGATATGCACGCTTGGCTTCAAAGCAGTGACGCAGCTGAGGTCACAAAACGATGCGTCCAGGTCTTAGTGTATAGACGGTGTTGACGAAGTTTACAAAACCAATCTAAAAACAAAAAATGCTCATTTTGAATCAATTTTGCATCCTCAAGAATACGTTATAGTATTCCATAAGATGGTGCTTTGAAATTTGAGAACTTTAATATAAATATAAGGGAAAGCTAAAAAAAAAAAATATTAGTCGTGCGTGAGCTTTAAGGGATAATTTTTGCGGTTATATTATTCATCTAACTTAATTTCAGCGATCTATATTTACAGTAATGGTGTGAACTAATTATCTAGAGACTTGTAGCGGAAATAAGGTTGAGTGATGTGGAGGTGTTTAGTGTGAGTCTGGAACACTGATCTCTATGTCTATTTGCTGGATCGCGTTTGCACGCTCCGCGAATGCGGCCACTGGTGGCCATCTTTTTGGTAGAGTTATATTACCTCTAGCAAACGTACAGCTGGTGCAGCCATTATCATCCATCCATGGCAGACAGCGTTGTGGCAGGCTGCCATAACAATAGCCATGGTTTATATCTCATTCTTGATTGAAATCGTTTGACCAAACATATTGTTGAAACCCGGCGTGAACGGTAGCTCTATCTTCGCGGACCCGGTGAAAGTTTCACGAAATCGCAACACCGGGGAAAAGCAGCACAGCACGTATCGAAAGTCGCATTGAAAGAAGCATGGAAGAAGCATTGATTGAAGGAAGCATTGAAAGAAGCGTGGGTCTTCGCTACAGCTGCAACAAGTCCCCGTTCCTGGGTCGACTACAACCATCTACTGCGACATGTCCGCAGGACACCCCAGACCCTACGTGCCCCCGTCCTATCGCCGTATAGCCTTTTCCACCAGCTACACCAACTCAGCTATTCCGGAATCCGCGCTTCTTCACGCCTTGTGGCTGACCGCTACGTATGGCCCTTCATGCAGCGCGACTGCCGCAACTGGGTGCGCTCCTGCATTCAATGCCAACGCGCCAAAATCACCAGGCATCTCACTTCACCGCTGGGAGCATTTCCTCAGCCCTCTGGTCGTTTTCAACACGTCCATCTTGACATCATAGACCCATTTCCGTCAGCCGAACCTTACCGCTACTGCCTCACCGCCATCGATCGATATACTCGATGGCTTGAGGCACGGCCCCTCGAGAGAATCACCGCGGAAGACGTCGCTTCGGCCTTCTTCACCGGTTGGATATCCCGCTTCGGCTCCCCTCGCCGCGTCACAACCGACCAAGGACGACAGTTCGAATCACAACTCTTCAGGCTCCTCGGGCTCACCACCGGGTTCGAGCGCTTGAGGAACACCAGTTACCATCCTTGCGCCAATGGAATGATTGAGCGCTTCCACCGGCAATTCAAGGCAACCATCATGTGTCACCCCGACTCAACCCGGCTTGAAGCAATCTCAGCCGTCACCCTAGGTATTCGCGCCACCTTCAAACCGGACATTCAAGCTACACCCGCAGAGCTAGTCTACGGGAACCCCTTCGCCTACTAGGGGAATTTCTTGCTGCCCCACAGTCAGTGTTGGAGGTAACGCGTTACTAGTAAAGACGTTACTTGTAACACGTTACATTTTTCGCTAACGCAGTAACGTACTCGTTAGTATTTTGAATGACTAACGAGTAAAGAATTTCCGTTACTTTTTTACGGTATCGGCAGTCAAATTTCGTTACTCGTTACTCGTTACTTTTGACCAAAACTGGTGAAATACATTAGCTATTTGGGAAAAGGTCACGACGCCTGATCTAACTTTTAGAATAGCAATCTTGTGCATAAGACTGGAGACGTTAGGAGAACTAAATTTAGGTCACTAAGCTCAATGAAGGGATCTAGCTTTTCTGCTCGAGGGGCAACTACTTGCACTCGAGCACGCAATGCCCAGGCAATGCCGTATCTTGCTGCTATGACTTCTGAATCTTCGATTTTCTAAAACGGTGGGTTTTATCAGTTCATCTATTCACCCATCCAAAATCCTGCAGAAGCTTATCGCTGTACAAAAGCAGCATTCGTCACAGTAAACTTAAAAAAAAAAAAAAAAATTCTGGTTAAAAGAGACATTCGTTAAAAGGCGACATTGTCTCGCTTCTCGAAGGCGAAACAAACCTTCGGCTACCAGCTAATTCCGTTCGTCCTCCTTTTTCCTTTTTTTTTCATAATATCACCACCCACAAGGCTTGAACGAACAACTGCGTTACAGCCCCCTCCCTCCCTCCTCTTCCCTCTCAGCCTTGTGCAGCAGAGGTGGACAGCGTGACGGGGAAAGTGAGAGAGAGAGAGACATGCGTCTACAACAGTGGACAACTATAGTCGGTTACAAGTCAAGAAGGTAGGAGAAGCTCCTCCCACAAGCGTGATGCGCCCGTTTCAGATCTCTCCGCAGTCGAAAGAAGAGTTCACTGGAAACGCTCCTTGTTCCGCTTCAATGGATTCCAACTTGTCTCCGATACCACTTTTTAAGAAAGCGGCCTTTGTATTCATCGGAGGGGGAACCGAGCCCCTGAAAGCAGCCTTTGTATCCATCGGAGGGGGAAGCTAATCCTCGAAAGTCGTATTTGTTTCCACCGGAGGGGGAAATCTCTAATCTCCCTCTCGTGGCTTCCAGAATGCTAAGTCAAAGTCGAAAGATAAAGGAAATATGCACAGGAAGGCAAGACCCTCCTCGCGCGTTGGCCGCGACGTCACGGAAACGGTGGGACGCTATTGGATGCGAAGGTAGCGGAGGGATATATGATTCCCTTTGAGGGGCATTTGCCGCTACCTTCTTAACCTGTAACCAACTATAGTGGCGAAGCAATTTGCTCGTTTTTCTGGTTACAAAAAAAAAAAAAAAAGTCCTTTGTGAAATTTTTTACTCTCGCTCTCCCCCTCGCTGCCTGAAAGTTCCTGACCCACTTTTGTACACAGAATAATCTTTCGCTTGATTATTCTTTACTTCACTAAGGTCATAATAAAAAAATAAAAAAATTTAAACCTCGAAAAAAAAACTTACAAAACACAAAACCTTTTTTTTTTTTTTTCAGAAAAATTAGGAGCTACTGCTGGTAAGAGGCAGCAAGGGATTATAACCAGTGTCCTGTTCTACAAAGTGAAGTAAATCAGTCTCTGGTAATAGTATGAACCGGACTGTTGATGGGTGTTGGTTGGCTGGTTGTGTTCCAGCAGTCCCCGTTCGCATGCTGTAGTTTATGAAAGCCGATTGACCTTCGATTGGTCTCGTGAAGGTTTTTTCTTTCACGAGACCGAAGCCATGTTTGTAAGCGAACACATCTGCCAAACATATGTACTCGAACAAAAAAGTAACGTAAAAGTAACGTTCGTTAGTTTTGAAAAGTAATGGTAACGGTATTTCGTTACGTTTGTGAAAGAGTAACGTAGCTCATTAACGCGTTACTTTTACTAAACTAACGAGTAACGCTATTTCGTTACTTTTTTTCGGTAACGGGCACAACACTGCCCACAGTCCACCATCGCCACGTCAGACCCCACCGATTTTGTCACCATGCTCCGACGCACTATCGCCGCCCTCCGCCCGTCACCTGCTGCGCATCACTGCAAGCCTATGCCATTTGTTTTTAAGGATCTGGCGACGTGCACACACGCCTTCGACCGCGGCGACACCGTCCGCACGCCTTTTCAGCCGCCTTACAACGGACCCTACAGGGTTACCCGTCGCGAGGAGAAAGATTTCACTCTAAACGTGAACGGGAAGGACATCCGCGTTTCTATCGACCGGTTGAAGCCAGCATATATCCTTTCGGACGAATCAAACAACCCGAGTGCATCCTCAAGCGTCCAGCCACAACCCCCGACACCGCAGCCCGCGCCAGTCACTACATGTTGTGGACGTCAAATACGCTTCCCAGATTTCTACAAGCCCTGAGGGCTCTCCACTCCGCGGGGAGGGGGGGGGGGGGGGGGGGTGATGTGGCGACGCACAATCACCAACATTTTGGCGCAGCCCTCACCTGGTCGTCGTCTGCTTCGGGGAAGCATGGCCGCGCTCTACACAGGCGCGCGGGGCACAGGAACGTCCGTCGACCGCCGCCGCCGAGGCAATAAACCGCCGTTCCTTTTCTATGTTGGGATTCGCTCGTCACCACGACACAGCATCCCACACATTATCCAACTTCTGACATCATGTCGTGTGACTTGCGACGCGACAAAAGAACAGACAACGACGTAGTTCCACACAAAACGAACCCCGAGTTCATTTCGTGCGCCGTATATATCACCACGCGCCCTTCCTCCGATACGAAGTGAGCGAACGCGGGCATGTTCACAGGTCAGTTAGTATGACACGTCAGCGATGTTACAACAGCGTGATCACAGTCTGGATGACACCACAAATATTTACGTCGAAAGTATATCCACCAAAGCGGACCCGGCGCAAGAAATTGAAAACCTGGTTGACAAAACGTTGGTGAAACATGTTCTTGAATATGCAAAAACAGTGTGGACTCAATTTAATGTAACAAATTCGTCAAAGCTCGATAAAGTGCAACGGCAAGCATCCAAGTCGTTTTTAACAAATACCATCGTTCCCATTCACTCACTGAACTTTGTGGACTTGCTGAACTCACTGCTTTTGAGTAAAGAACGAAGTGCGATCGACAAAAAATTTATTTTCCTAATCCTTCATGGTTTAGTTAAAATCGACAAGAATAATTACATGAATGTGCGCTTTGGTGGATATACGCTTCACCGTCATAGCCTGTGCATTAGAAAACCGGTCGCCAAAAATTATTGTTTTAAATTTAGTTTATTTCCAAGGCCAATTAGCAGAATAAAATTCCTAATGTAACCGTAATTTTAACAAATGTTTGTAAGTTTGTGAAAAACAAAAACGCAGCGTTTAACAATATCCCATAACTTTAAGATTTCTTATCTGTTTGTGTGTTTGATTTTGTTTGTTTAATTGTGTGTGCATACACTTTTTTTTCTTCGTTTTATAGCGCATTACCACCCCTGCAGTAGCCCATCAAGGGCTGAGAGTAAGAATCAATAAATAAAAAAAACACGCATTAAACTCACCACTGTTTCACCGGTTTCGAACACAAACTAAACGTGCTGCAACGCGTACACCTGCGTGTGGGTACACATGCATGTGAGACGGACGGACGGACGAATGTTTCCTTTATACCGGGCGCTAGTTTGCGCCACCTAGCCTTGAATTAATTAATTCAAAAATTTGTTTCCTTTATATTCGATTCTCTCTCTCCCATGCTTAATATTCTTCTCCCTTTACCTCTCTGCAACTATGACTGGGCGGGTAGAGTACTTTTCAGAAAAACCTCTGGGGGATGGGGCAGAAAAAAAAAAAAACTAAACCCCCGCCTCTTCCCCCGGGCGAGGGAGCCGCCAATTTTTTTCTGGTCAACCTCGAAGGTGTTCCTGCTCGAACCAGACTCACTAGGGGACAGGTGTGAGACTTTGGGCCGGAGCCACATGGGATTGAGTCCCAATATTCCTCTGTCCCTCCTGTCCCCCAGCAGTTCTAATTGTTCGTCCTATTTTCCCTAGACTCTATCCACCAGTTTTCCAATCTCTTCTTTGCCATTTTAACACTTTTTTCCTCCATTCTTCCATCCTCCTCCGCACAACCGAGCGCCCCCGTCAAATCCGCTGATCCCTAAGGGAAAACAGGACGACGCCTCGTACATTCTAAAACCAAATGTTCCATTGTTTCGTTCTCATTTTGGCATATGGCACATAATGTGTCCATTTTCTCGAATTTAGCCCTATACGTCTTGTGTCTTAGAACCCTTGTTCTGGTCTCAAATAATAGGGAACTACCCCGTGGATTATCAAAAACCTGTTCGTTTCTTATTTCCTACTTATGTTACCTATAAATTGTTAAAGCTGATTTTCCTTGCATCCTTCCCCTCCACATTTTCCTTTCCGCTTCGTTTACGCCCTCTTTTGCCGTATTGTTGCGCTCAGACTTTCCTTCCTATGTTAGCATATATTTAAATTTCAGTTTTCTCGTTCGGTTCGTCCATTTTGTATTCAAACTCTTCATGTATAAATGCTCTTATGCCTTCCTCACCCATCCCGCGTCCTCAATTTCTGTTAGCCTTTGATCGAAATTCAATTTGCTGTTAGCCTCTCTACTCTCAAAAAACGACCAGCCCATGTCCCCTTGTACCCCTTCATTTCGCGTGTTCCCATGCGCACCCAGTGCCAGCCTAACTACACTTCTCTGTCTGACCTCCAAGCCTGTCCGAACCTCTGATCGCATGCACAACACTGCATTACCAAATGACACAGCTGGCACCAAGACTCCTTTCCAAATGCCTCGAACTACTTAATATCTATTCTAATTTCATAGTGCTCTATGCTTCATATTAGCTGAATTTCTTTTCCCGTTTTAGTATATTTTCCTCGTGTTTTTTTCTAAATACTTCTTTCCCTGTTTCATCCAGACACCCAGATATTTGTACTTACCTACATAGTCCCATCTCAAAGTTCTGCATTCTCAGCGGCTCCCCTTTTTCGTCATTAAAAAACATCACTGCAGATTTTTCTCTACTGAAATTCAGACCAAGCAAGCTCTTGGCAGCACGGTGTGCAGATGAAGCTGAGCTATTTGAGCCAAAACGCATATAACAATCCCCCCCCCTTCATAACAAAAATGTCACAAAACAAATGGAAGACCCAGCCAACTCTATATACTCTAATATAATATTCACAAAGTAATTTTACCTTATTAGTAATATTATTAATTGACGATACGTGTTCTACTTGAAAACCATTTCGCACAAAAAGAGCAAAAGCAACAAAATGAATGGATCAGGCTGCCATGCCTCTAAAGGGCGGTAGATGGGGCCAAATAGACAATGATAGATATATCACTACGGTCGATTTTCGCGTTTCGATGATTAGCAGATCTAACTAATGATTTCAATCTGTCCTATGGTCGATTTTATTAAATTTACATTGCAAATATAGTTGCGGCGAAAGGCAATACATAGGAAAGCGTTAATGGGGCAAAAAATATGCGATAAGGGCTCATTGCATTGGTGCTCATTGCATTCAGACTGCGGCATATTGCTGCTAACGGCATTTAGTAAAATTTGGTGATTCATGCCCATTCGGTTTGGCATTAAAATAGACATTCAATTTCTCTCATTTTGTACATTCGGCTTGCACATTCCTGGGGTAATTTCACATTTAAGCTTCATTTAATTACTAAAACATGCACATTAGTTTTCGTACCAAAATAAATAAGATTTCAATTTTTTTTTTTTTTTTTCAGCAGGGCGATTTCTTGAAACATGAAATTCCTGGAATTATCCTTCAGAGCAACCATTGTCTTTCAATATCGTTTCAGAAACAGTAAAGAATTCCTAATACAAGCCGATATAGCCGGTTCAGACCCGACAAATTACCGGAAAAAGGCCCTGGATACTGTATATCAGCGTGGCGTTGGCCGACCCAAGTGATGTTCCGCCGACATCGGCAACATCACAGTTTCGATCTGCATACCTTCACTTATTTCACCACGGCCATAAAATGAATCTAAAATTGCACTTCGTAGATTTTGATCTTTCAAATTTCTTCAAAACCCTCAGTCTGATTATACGCGGGTCGGAAGTGGTTTAAGACCTCTTGACTGCTGGCACCAGTGCTTCTACTATGAGCAGTCACAAGCAGTCCTAACTCAGTCGTTCACAGTGAAACGTAAATCTGTGAATCAGTGCACCATTACATCTTTGCACGCTTTTATAGGGTGTAATTCTGCCTTGAACACCCTTACATGGGTGTTATCGTAACGAAAACACCATTTCCTGGGGGTGTTAGAGTGTGAGTCATAGACACCGCGGACACTCTTAAGAACGTAAATTAATTTTCAGTGGAAGGGACATTTATGTAGCCAAGCTAAAATTTAAGTGTAAGTAAATACACAGGGAATTTCAGCAAAAAGTAAGTGATATTGCATTTTCGACATAGTTACAGACTAGGATTTAAACAAATCGTGTCTGCAACAGGTTCTTTTATTTCAACGTGACAAACAAAGCTCGTATGTGCCTCGTGCATCGCCATGACACGTCTGCAGCTGGCACATGGCACATAATAAAAAGCAAGAACCGACAAGTAGAGGAGCAAAGAAGCCCATCTTTATGCATGCACTGGGAAGCCATTATTGCTTACACTTATCGAATAAGACCTGTCGAGTCATCGGCGTCCAACTCTCCCCCCTAAGACTGTTTTTCCTCCAAGTCGGCTGCAAGCTTTCTTGCTCCGTCCGCTAAATCCTTCTTGTTCTTCCGATCTGTAACCTTTGCGGCCACGTCAGTGCCAACAGCAGCTAGATGCGCAGCGATTGTCGTCGCAGCGAGGATTGCCGTAGGGATGGCCTTCGCAGGCATGATATCGGCGAGCGACGATGCAGCACGGGCAATGGCGCATAAGCTCTCATGCGCTATCATAAGATCTTCCTGCAACTTTTTGCTTTCTTCGTACTTCTTCCTGACGTCCTGGTAGCTTTTCCAGAAAGCACTAAAAATCGTTTTCAATTCCTGAAAAAAAAAAAGAATCTAATATATATTAACATCGTCGGCACGGACAAACCACTAAGCTCCTATATATCGGCAAATGCCCCAAACATTGCCACAACCTTAATTTCTTACACAGGAACCAATTACACGTAACTGCTGTTATTATGTAAAAATTGCTTGCATTTTAATGTTGCAGACGAGAGAGAAACTCCTGAGAGGTTAACAAACGCTAGGTGTTTCGAGCCCCACGAATTTTATAATCGCACCGCTGTGAACTATATTTGGGCATTCGCCAATAAGAACGCCGAAATAAAAATTGCGAAGCGTGGAGCGTGAAGGTAAAGAACCACGTCCTGCGTCCCTTAAAGGGGCACTGCAAGGAAAAATAAGTTTTGTTTATGACATAGAGTGGACACGTTTCCTTTCATGTTTATAATGTTTCCACGAAAATGTTTTTTACCGTATAAAATTAACACCGTTTGACGCTATTTTGGTGCAGAAGGTGGAGGCCACAGCCTGCTAAGTCCCGTCCAGCGCTTAGAATGTGCTTACATGGTGGTTGCAATTTTGTATCTACATGCGGTAATAGTATTGTCGCGACTATTTTTTTTATGTTTTACAAGCAAATATTTAAGATAGAGTGCTTGTCCTTGTCAGATGTATTCTGAAATTGCTTCTCACGCTTCGGTTTGAAACGCTAACAAACATGGTTGCCGGCGTCTGCGGACCCTATTTTAAAAAAAAATGTGCCTAAAAATATAACTGCTCAAGCTGGTAATTAAGATGGTCAAACAGGTCAATGTGGTAAAAAAACTGGTTTAACTGGCAATCAAACCGGTTAAAGCTGAAGAAGCTAGAATTTAGGTGGTCAGTCTGGTTTGAGTGAAAACCAGCAGGGTCTCACTAAAAACTGATTTTAGATTCAATCTGATGTCGCTGGGAAACAGTCTGGTCATAACTGATCAAACTGGTTTTCCATGGAGCCAATGTGGTCAAGCTGGGAGACAAGCTGGTGAAGGTGGTTTATCTCCTAATCATACTGGTCAAGCTGGACTTGCTGGGGGCGCGCACGCTAAGGTCGGCTCGGGCTGGCACGGTGCCACTTCCTGTGCTTTTTCCTATCGTTTTTGGTATGTGACCGGGCGCTTCAGGGGAGCGTAAGGCCTCTCCCACCCGTTCGACATTTAAAAAGTTAGCTACATCCTGTTTGCCCATTCAGCCGCTGTGACCTAGGGGGCTATGTTGCGCTTTTTGCACTCCCAGGAGACTAGGGAGAGGGAAGTGACGTCAACGACACAGCAAACGCAGATTGGGTGTTGATTTCGTTTTCTTCTGTCAACATCCAATCTGCATTTGCTGTGTCGTTGACGTCACTTCCCTCTTCCAAGTCTCCTGGGAGTGCAAAAAGTGCAACATAGCACCCCTAGACAAGGCTCCGCCTATATCGCCTTTCTCCCCATCGTGTGTTATCATCTACCCTGAAATCAACACGAATATATTGTTAGAGGCGCCGGGCTACGCGAGCGACACGGCACGCGGCACGAGCGCAGGAGACTCGCGCCAGCCACAGCTAGCCTGGGATACTTCGTCAGTGCAAGCACCCCAACGGTCGCCCCGTCAGCTCGCCCCGTCAGCTCGCCCCGTGAGGACTGCAATAAACGTGCTGACATCTTGGTGGAGGTGCGGGCCGCAACGCCCTTCCTCGACCTCAGGTACGATTGTGGAGCTTCGTAGTGGCACCCTATCTCAGCCCAGCGCATCGGCCGCGCAGCCACCACCCGCCGGCACCTCTCGATCTCCCTCACCCGCGCTCACCACACCCACAGCCGGAGGTTCCAACCCAATTCAACCTGCACAGCCCTGGCCTGTTTGGCATCCATCCTCGCGCCAGCGGGATCCCAAGGTATTCTCCGGTCTAGGAGACGAAGAAATCGAGGAGTGGCTAGACATCTCTGAGCGGATTTCCACCTACAACCGCTGGGATAACGCCAGTAAATTGGCTAACATCATATTCTACTTCACCAATGTGGCCAAAACCTGTAATCTAAATCACGAGACAGAGTGGCACAGATGGGAAGCCTTCACAACCCGTGCAAATTATATATTCGGTAGGCCTGAAAATCGCCGCGCCACAGCAGAACGCCGCCTTAACTTTCGTGTGCAACAGCAAGGCGAGAGCTACACAGCCTACATCGAGGACGTACTCCGTCTATGTCGCCGAACGAACGAACAAATGCAACAAGGTGAGCGCGTCCGCCACCTCTTGAAGGGAATATCCGAGGAAGCTTTCGCGGTGTTCCTCAATCAGCCGCCTCCCGATGTGAACGCCGTCGTCAGCGGCTGCACACGTCTCGCGGAGGCCCGCCAACACCGCGTCCAGTCTCTTGGAGCGCCAGTGAGTGTGCCGGGACACCTCTTTCCGGTCCCAGCGCACCTACCCTCCCTGCCATTCCACCAACAACTCAAGACGGACTGCGATTTCTAATTCGCGAGATAGTGCGAGAGGAACTGAACCAGCTTTTAGCACAACCATCGGCGTCCCCAACACCCCAAGCGCCGATTCAGCACGTAATTTGGAATGAACTCTTACAACTCATGTGTGTTTCTTCACCAACATTCTTTCAGCAGTCAACACCCAGGCCTTCATACGCGGAGGTCCTTTGCAGAGCCCCAGCACCAGTTGTTTGCACACCTGCAACTGTACTGCGGCCCACTACTACGCCCGCGCCTGTTGCACCCATCGTTGACTCACGTTTCGGTCAACCGCAGAACAACTCGTGGCGGAAAGCACCACCGACCTGCTATTGCTGTGGTGTGCTAGGACACATGGCACGTTACTGCCGACGACGTCGCAACGACGAGGAACGACAGTGGTCCCGAGCATCAAGATACAACTATGACGAGCCCCCACGCCGTTATTCCAATAGCCCGCATCGCCGCACGGATCAGCCTCACGGACACGACAGAGCTGCGGAGCCCCGACACAACCGACGACAATCTCTTTCGCCGTATCGTCGCCGTTCATCATCACCGATGCTTCCTGCATCCTCCCTTCCAGTGCGGCTACAAACGGAAAACTAAATTACGCAGTTCCCGGAGGTGAAACTCCCGTAGTCGATCATCCAAACAATCCTCCCGTTGCACGGAACTACATCAACGTTCTCATCGACGATCACCCAGTTTTCGCCCTTTCTGACACAGGTGCATCTGTCTCCGTTATGAGAGAAGACGTCTGCAGACAACTCCGTAAGGTGCGCACACCAGCCCAGGACCTACCTCGTGGGGCGGACACCAACATCATCCATCCTTCTTCGGTGTGTACTGCTCGCGTTTCTATCGCAGACGTCCTCTATCACGTCCAGTTTGTCGTTTTATCGAAGTGCATAGGTCAGATAATACTTGGTGCGATTTTCATCAGCCTAGCGAAGCCTTAATTGATTGTGGTCTTTCTGAACTACACCTTTCGAGCAAATTTTTTGGAGGCTCCAAACACTAATCATACAGCTAAATTATGTCCAACTTCTGATGTCGAGCTACTCCCAAATGCGACATCCCTCGTTGAAGTATTCCCGTCAACGCATATCGCTGGAGATGTCTTTTTTGAGGCCAAACGTTTACCTCTACTGCAAAAGGGGTTACTTCTTCCTCACGTCGTAGCCACTATCGAAAATGGAGCCGGTTGGGTAGGTGTTGATAATACCAACCCACACGTCGCAGTTCTTCCAAAAGGGCAGTCACTCGGATTAGCAGAAAAATTGTGTTTACCAGACATACCTAATAACGCACCAGCTTCACCTACGCAACCCGCGGAAAAACCCACAACTTCATTACACTCTTTGCTAGTAAAAACCATGTCCTCCACGCTGGAGCCAAACCAACAGGAATGGCTTTTATTTATGTTGTGCAGTTTCCGCAATGGTTTTTGATATCTCCCCTTCAACATTTGGACAGTGCTCCCAAACCGAACATCGAATTTCCACAGACACAGAAAATATGATTCGCCAAAGACCATATCGAGTTTCCTTATCGGAACGAAAGACCATTGAAACGCCTATTGCAGAAATGCTGTCACAATGTCTTATTCGACCATCTTCAAGTGATTGGTCATCACCTGTCGTCCTAGTCAAGAAGAAAAACGGAAGCTTGCGCTTTTGTGTAGATTATAGACGTTTAAACAAAATTACGAAAAAGGACGTCTATCACATGCCCCGCATAGATGACGCTTTGGATACACTGGCCGGGTCCTCCTTCTTTTCGTCTCTGGATATGCGATCTGGTTATTGGCAGATACTGGTGGCCGAACAGGACAAACCAAAAACAGCTTTTACAACACCAGATGGATGAATTTAACGTAATGCCTTTCGGCCTCTGCAACGCACCGGCTACCTTCGAACGCATGATTGACTCTGTCCTAAGAGGTCTCAAGTGAAAATCTTGCTTATGTTACTTAGACGACATAATTTTTTCCAAAAACTTCGACGATCACCTCACCCGACTTTCGGAAGTCCTTTCATATCTCTAAAAAGCCGGTCTCAAGCTCAACACCAAAAAATGTCGATTTGCTACTGAGCACGTAAAGGTTCTCGGTCACATTGTAAATGCAATTGGCATCAGCCCCGATCCTGACAAAATTCGAGCAGCAGTCGACTTCCCCAAACCACACAACATTAAACAACTTCAAGGTTTTATTGGCCTTTGCTCATACTTCCGTCGTTTTGTTCGCGACTTCGCCAAAATCGCCAACCCACTCCATGAATTACTACAAAAAGCCACGTTGTTTTAATGGTTTGATCAATGTCAGAATGACTTTACCCTCTTGCAGTCAATCCTGACAGCTCCGCCAAATTGACGGCACTTTGACCCTTTTGTTACCACAATTATTCACACCGATGCAAGCGGCTTAGGCCCATGGGGCTGTTCTATTACAAATATCAAAAAAGATTCCCCGGATGAACAAGTTATTTCTTGTGCAAGCCGGTCTTTGACCAAACCTGAGCAAAACTATTCAACCACGGAGCGGT